TCTCAGTCCTGTCTCGTCGTGGTCGCCCCGCACCTCTCCCCTCCTCCGCCTTCCCCTGGCCCTCCTGCTCCTCCCGCCCCTTCCACCTCTCAACTCCTTCTGCTGTCCTCCTTCGTCCTCACCCTTTCTGATCCTTCTCCTTTTCCTCCCTAGAGGCCTCCTAGGTGGGGTCGGAGTGAATGGGTCGGAAGATCGCGTCGCATCGCCGATACATCAGCGATGTATCGGCGATGCATCGGCGCCGTCGGCGGTGCACAAGCGACGCTGGTGAGGAGGCAATCGGGCTCCACATCGAGCCGCATCGTCGATGCACCGGCGATGCGGCGCGACCCTCCGACCCCACCTACTCCGACCATATCTAAGAGGCCGATAGACTCCTGATCATCCTTTTGCACCCTCCGCGAGGGGGCGGCAGAGAGGGGCGGACCGCGCGGGCGGGCCGCGGGGGGGCCTGCGCAGCAGGGGCGGCCTCTCTCTGGGGCGCCCTCGGCGGGCCCGCGGGTTTTTTGTTGAGGCCTGGGCGACGGAGCCTCGAGGCAGAGCCACGCTGACGGCGTCACGGCGGCGCTGACGGCGTCACGGCGGCGTTCTGCGACGCCGAACTCGCGCAGAACAGCCCAAATGGGGGAACGCGAGCCAGCCCTCCCTACAATTGGAGTTGGGTTGGTCGCGGACCACTTTGCTCATTGTACCGAAGGCTACATCGCCGTTGCCTACACCTACATCGTCGTTAGCGTGTCTACGGTTTTAAGCATGGACAATGGAGCCTCGAGCTTTGAGCCTCGACGACAACTAATTTGAAGGGGCCCCAGGACACACAAATAAATACACACAAATAAAAGGATTCCCCATCTTTTCCTATATTTTCTGGGTTTTTGTCTTCCCCCCCACTTCCCATATTTTCCCATATTTTCTGGGAATCGCCGATTAATTGTGTCTGTGTGTTTTTCCCCTCCTGAAATGGAGCCTCGAGCTTTGAGCCTCGACGACAACTAAGTACAGTGCGGACGCGGAGAAGAGGCTGATCTGGAACCGGAGCCGGTCGCGCCGGTCGCGCCGGTCGCGCCGGTTGCGCCGGTCGCGCCGGTCGCGCCGGTCGCGCCGGTCGCGCCGGTCGCGCCGGTTGCGCCGGCTGCGCCGGTCGCGCCGGTTGCGCCGGTCGCGCCGGTCGCGCCGGTCGCGCCGGTCGCGCCGGTCGCGCCGGCTGCGCCAGCTGCGCCGGTCGCGCCGGTTGCGCCGGTTGCGCCGGTCGCGCCGGTCGCGCCGGTCGCGCTGGTTGCGCCGGCTGCGCCGGCTGCGCCAGCGGCGCCGGCTGCGCCAGCGGCGCGTCGATTGTGATATCAACACAGACATCACAGTCGTCATGTCGCTCTCCCGTCGTGTCCCGTGGGTGGTGTCATGATCTCGTGGCGTGGCGTGGCGTGGTGTGGGGTACGGTGTGATGTGGCGTGATGTTGTGTGGCGTGGTGTGTGGTGTGGTGTGTGCGTGTGTGTGGTGTGGTGTGGTGTGTTGTGGTGTGTGTGTGTGTGCGTGTGTGTGTGCGGTGCGGTGTGGTGCGGTGCGGTGCGGTGCGGTGCGGCGTGGTGTAGTGTGTAAGTGAGGTCGGTTGCGACACCATCACAGAGATCGCACTTGCCATGTAGGTGCCCCATGGGAGGTGTCATGAGGACGTGATGTCGTGATGTCGTGCCTTTCTGCGGGGGGGATGCCCGGGCAGACTCCTGCCGGCCTTAGTCAAAATGAAGAACACGAGAGGCCGCGGGGGCAGGAATGGAGGAGGGGGAAAGGAGGGCCGAGAGCGAGGATACCACATCAGGAGCAACCTTTTTGACATCGGATCTCGAATGTGTGCGTCGCGAGCTACGCCTCGTAGTCGCCGACGCATCGCCGGGCCGGCCCGTCGGCTGCGCCGGCGCGCACCGCCGCGGGAGGAGCAAGAGGAAACGATGCGGTACTGCGTGCGGAAGTCGCATGCAGAAGGCGCTGGAAAAGTCCCCGGCCGCACCCCGCCCTGCAGCGGATGGCGCGCGGAAGCGTCGAGTAAACAGAAAAACTGCGTCAGCAGCCCGGGTGTGCGTGCAACCCCGGGTGCCTTTCTGCGAACGCAGCGGCGGGGAAAACGACATGCTTGAGCAGCTCGGGCGTGCGTGTAATCCCGAGTGCCTTTCTGCGGGAGCATGCCCGTGGAGACTTCTGCCGGCCCTCGTCAAAATTAAACGCGAGAGGCCGCGGGGGCAGGAATGGAGGAGGGGGAAAGGAGGGCCGAGAGCGAGGAAACCACATTAGGAGCAACCTTTTTGACATCGGATCTCGAATGTGTGCGTCGCGAGCTACGCCTCGTAGTCGCCGACGCCTCGTAGTCGCCGACTCGAAGATAGAACAAGAAGGAGAGAGGTAAATCAACGTACACCTCACAACAATGCCGTGACCCCCCAACATATCGTGGCCAACGATTGTGAAAACCGCTCTTACCAATCTCATCAGGGCGAGGCATGCAAGATATTTGAGGCACCAGACGGTATCGATACCGATGCTTCATGGCCCTCTCCTGGGGTGCCTTCTGACCAGACTCCCGAGGCGAATCCAGCGGTGGCGACGAGGGCCTCCCAGGAGGCCCAACGAGGCGCAAACGAGGCAAGGGTAGCGGTATGTGTGTCTGGAGAACCTGGGGCGGATCGGGAAAGGAGACGCTGCCATGAGCTCTCGGTGGCACGGAGGGCGTGGCCCTGCAGGTAGGGGTGACCTTTGGTGTGCAGCTTGGGGGGGGGGCTGCGGGGGAGGGAGGGGGCCAGATCCAAGCGCGTGGGCCAGTGCCTGAGGGAGCCCTGGTGGGCCCGCACCAAAGGTCAATTTGGCGAAGGGTCGCTCTCACGCGCAGCTGAATCTTGGTCCTGCAGGATCTGCCTCGTGGCAGCCCAACGCGCTGGGACAGCGCAGTAGAACATGATCGACCCACGAACCCGGAAAGGAATATAGAAATGTAAGGCATTGTAACATTTCAAAGACACCTGATTGGGCGACGGGCACATGCAATGCTAAATGTATCGATGATGATGTACTGTGCCGAGGGCTGTGCTGTGCTACGCCGTGCTGAACTGCGATGTGCCATGCCGCGATTGTTTTCTATATAGCGTTGTGGATCGAGTCCTCCCTGGCATCCGAGTCCTCACCGAACTGATCTGGAGCGTAAGCTCGAGCTGCTCAGGATGGTAGCTGCCCCAGAATTAATCGACAGAGGGAACATGCCAAGAGGACGCGCCGCGGAACGTCCCAAGGGACGCGCCAGGCGACGTGCCAGGGGACGTGCCATGGGGACGCACCGTGGGACGTGCCAAGGGGACGCGCTACGGAACGTGCCAATGGACGTGCCGAGGGACGTGCCATGGGACGCGCCGCGCGACGTGCCAGGTGGACTCGCCACGGAACGCGCCAAGGAACGTGCCAAAGTGTATAGTTGAGTGTATCGATATTGATGTACCGTGCCGACGGCTGTGCTGTGCTGGGCCGTGCTGAACTGCGATGCGTCATGCCGCGATTGTGCTCTCTCTCTCTCTCGTGCCAAAGTGTATAGTTGAGTGTATCGATATTGATGTACCGTGCCGACGGCTGTGCTGTGCTGGGCCGTGCTGAACTGCGATGCGTCATGCCGCGATTGTGCTCTCTCTCTCTCTCTCTCTATAGATATAGATATAGCGTTGTGGATCGAGTCCTCCCTGGCATCCGAGTCCTCACCGAACTGATCTGGATCGTAAGCTCGAGCTGCCTGAGCAGATGGTAGCTGCCCCAGAACTAATCGACAGAGGGAACATGCCAAGAGGACGCGCCGCGGAACGTCCCAAGGGACGCGCCAGGGGACGTGCCAGGGGACGTGCCATGGGCACGCACCGTGGGACGTGCCAAGGGGACGCGCTACGGAACGTGCCAATGGACGTGCACCGCGCGACGTGCCAGGGGGACTCGCCACGGGACGCTCCGCGGAACGTGCCAAGCAACATGCCAGGCTGCAATGCTGGTATCGATATTGATGTACCGTGCCGAGGGCTGTGCTGTGCCTGGGCGACCTGGACACGTGAAAACACGCGTTTCGCTCAAGACGTTGTCAGCACATCCTCATGCTAGACATCCGCTTGGGCAACCTGGACACGTGCAAACAAAGCGTCTCGCTCGAGACATCCTCAACAAATGCTCATGTTAGACATCCGCCTGGGCGACCTGGACACGTGAAAACAAGCCTCTGGTTCGAGACATCCTCAACAAATCCTCATGCTAGACATCTGTCTGGGCCACCTGGAGGCGTGAAACCAAGCGTCTCGCTCGAGGCATCCTCAAGACCAGGGCACGAATCCACTTGAGAGATCCTCAGAATTCAGGCCCCCAGGAGAGGACAATCTATAACACAAAACAAGCGTTTCGCTCGAGACATCCTCAACAAATTCTGAAAAACAAGCGTTTCGCTCGAGACATCCTCAAATCCCACCAGCCCTTTGGGCGTGAGTGGTTCAGCGAGCTCTCTCTGTCCTCAACCCCCCTTCTTCCCCTTCGGGGAGGGGTTTACCCCTCCCCCTACCCCCTCCCCCTGGGCCTGGAGGGGGTGTTCCGCGGGTCGCCGGGGGGGTCTTTTTCGACTCCTCGGAGGGCTAAAAAACGACACCCCTCACGAGGATTCTGGCCCCGACGGGGGGACGGAGATAAGGTACCCTCCTCTTCCTTGAAGCCAAAAACATTGATTTTACTACGGTTTTGGCTCCATTTGGCCCTTCTGAGGGGGCAGCGCTCATGCAAGCTCCCCCCTCCCGTCAAGGCAATATTATTGATTTTACTAAGGTTTTGGGCTCATTTTGCCCTTCCGAGGGAGCAGCGCTCATTAAAGCTCCCCTCTTCTTGGATCCATGCCCTCCAAGATGGCCCCCCGAAGCGCCCAGGAGGCACCAAGAGGCCCCAAGATGGCCCCAAGAGGCCCCCCGGAGGCCCCCAACCGGGCGCGCCGGGCGCGCCGGTCGCGCCGGTCGCGCCGGTCGTGCTGATCGTGCCGGTCGCGCCGGTCGCGCCGGTGCCGGTCGCGCCGGTCGAGCCGGTTGTGCCGGTCGCGCCGGTCGCGCCGGTCGCGCCGGGTGCGCCGGTCGCGCCGGTCGCGCCGGTCGCGCCGGTCGCCGGTGCCGGTCGCGCCGGTCGCGCCGGTCGCGCCGGTGCCGGTCGCGCCGGTTGCGCCGGTCGCGCCGGTCGCGCCGGTCGCAATCGCGCTGGTCGCGCCGGTGCCGGTCGCGCCGGTCGCGCCGGTCGCGCCGGTTGGTTCTAGTTCGGTCCCCTTTGCGGACGCGGCCGCAAGGGACCCTGGCGAGAAACCCAACACTGGCAACCCGCGCGCGAGATGCACACGGGGGTCACCCAAAGCACCCTGAACGCAGCAGCTTCTTCAACCTGACTACCTACCAGACCACCCCAACCCAACCCGAAGACTCGAATTTCGGGTTGGGGGGGGTACGGGTTCCATATGTGTTTTCTCGATGTTCCAAGACCCCCCCCCACTGGAAATCGAGGATAAATCTGAGCCTTCGGGTTGGGTTGGGGTGGTTTGGTGGGCGGTGACAACCGCCTCGGAAGTCACCACGCAGCGCGCGGAGCCAAAATCGGCGGCGAGCGAGGGGGGGAAGTGAGAAAGAGAAGGTCTCCTCAGAAGGCGGCGGGTCTTCTCAGATGCCCTCGCGCCTTCTGAGAAGTTTTGCGCGTCTTCGGGAAAGGCTCAGGAAACTTCTCAGAAGGCCAAGGGACTTCCCACCCTTCTGAGAAGGCCTTTTCCTCCGCTCTTCCCCCCCGGGCTCGCCGCTGAGAAGAAGCCGGTTACCCTGACGAAAAGCGCATGGCTTCTTGGTGCGCGTCCCCACTGCAAGCCTCCTCCCCCGTGCCTCCTCGTCGTTCGCTCCCCCCTTCTGTTGGGAAACCGAGAGGTACCAACACCGCTGCCCCCCGGACCTCTCCCGGGGTGCGTTCTGATTAGAATTTCGAAGCGAATCCAGCGGTGGCGACGAGGGCCCCCCAAGAGGCCCAAAAAGGGGAAACGGGCGAAGGGTAGCCGTGTGAGTACCTTGTCCTCTTCTGATCCTCGTCGTTCGCTACCCCCCGCTGCGGTCGTGTCACCGTCGTTGTCTTCAGGATCTTGCCGGCGGCGGGAGCCTGTAGGGATCCTATGCCCCGTTGTGAGTTTGGCCTGCGATCCCCGGCGGCCCGCACCCAGTTTTCGAGGCTCGAGAGGCTCGAGGCGCGGCATTCCCCTGACGTCCTCGCGCCGTGGGAAGACCGCGACGGATGCCTGGCGCGCACTGCCAGGCCGTCTGTATGTACAGGTTCAACCAAAATGCCGGCAGGCGCGCCAAATATCAGAGGTCATGCCATCCCGTCGCGCCAGCAGCAGCCAACGCGGTGCACTACAGAATGCGGCAGCTCGCCTCCTGGACCTCGATCGCACGATGGTCCTTGCGGATATAGAACGCAGCATTATACAGATTCCGCAGGTCATCCCCGATTTGCTCGAGGCGGAAGTGCGCAGGGAAAGCAGTCGAAATAGTGTAATTCAAGCGGACCTGCTCCCCTGCAACGTCCTCGATTGCACCAAAGTTCGAATCCGCACCAAGCAAATCGCACATCTCTCCCAAGCACTCCGTTCTTTCAGCGGGGGTTAAATTCTCACTCTTATTATATATGAAGATGAATTGAGACTTATAGTGCTGATAATCCAGCCACTCCATGAAATTCTTTATCGCTTGCGACTGCTCGTCCTCAATGCGACCAGCACACACAATCAACACCTTGTGTACGTGGAAAACGCTCGACTTGATGAACTCTTTGACCATGCGAGTCACATCTGATGCAGGCATGACGCTGTCGCAAAACCCTACGCTGTCAATCACATTCACTGTCCGGGTCTGTTCCCTGAAGGTGAAGGTCCCAGAATAAATGTGCATTTGCTTCGTCACAGACTTCGCGGTTGCCTTCACCTTGGCGACCTTCCTATTGAACAACATGTTGATGATCGTGGACTTGCCGGCGCCTGTCGGGCCGAGGACGACGATGTTGGTGTCTTTGTCGCCTCTCTGCGTCAGGAACGCTCTCGTCTTCTGGAACACGGGGTTGAAGTGAGACTTCCACGAAGGGTAGATGGGCTCCAAGGTCGTAGGGCACTGCACCTCGAGTTCCACTGGGGGGGTGCACAGCCGCGTCGCCGTATCTCCCATAGCCTTGCGCTGGGTGGTGTAATACGCAAGCGTTACAGAGGAACCATTCAGCAAACGCGCACCAAAACCACCCTGCCATCTAACAACACCGCTCTAACAACACCGCACGGATCGGAGGTTGGGGGGCGAGGCCGACGCAAAACGAAGTCCCCCGAGCGGGAACTCGACTTCGGCTTCCGTCCGTGTCGTGCGCGACGAGCGTGCGGGCGAGGCGCGACAGCGCGAATTCAGGTCCTGCGCTAGCTGGATCCAAACCTTGCCAGAAGGAGTCGGGTCCGAGCCGGCAGGGGTGTGCCTGGCGGGCGTGCCTGGGACTGTCCCCATGCTTGTCCAGTGGTTGTCCCGATGGTTGTCCCGATGGTTGCCCCGATCGTTGTGGCAATGGTTGTCCTGTGATTGAACCCGATGCTTGTCCCGACAACTGTCCAGCTGATTGTCCCGATGGCTGTCCCGATCGTTGTGGCGATGGTTTTCCTGTGGTTGTCCCGATGGTTGTCCCAAAGGTTGTCCCGATGGTGTGTCCCGCGGTCACCCCGTGGTTGTCCCGAATGGGGTCCCGATAATTGTCCCGATGATTGTCCCGATGGTTGTTCCCATGGTTGTCCAAATCGTGATCCGGATGGTTGTCCCGGGTTTGTCCCGACGGTTGTCCCGATGGTTGTGCGATTATTGTCCGGTCGGTTGCCCCGATGGTGTTCGCAATGGTTGCCCAGCTGATTGTCCCGATCGTTGCCCCATGCTTGTCCTGTGGTTGTCCCGATGATTGTCCCGATGCTTGTCCACTGGTTCTCCCGATGGCTGTCCCGTGGTTGTTGCCCCTGAGTGCCCCGTGGTTCGCGAATGCAATCCAGTCAACGTCAACTCTTACACCCCCCACCTCCTCATCAGCCGAAGGGCGGTCTTATTGATAAAAACGTGGACGGATCTTGGAATAACGCCGACACGCTCACGAACATGCAAACGATAACAAAAATCGACGCAATCAATGACAAGCTCATTCCGCGCCAATGCCATGAACTGCAAAGCCTGGCAGAACACTCACCCGATCTTAATTATCATGTGCGTTCGGGCGTAGCCCGAATTTGTCTTTCGCGACCGACTGGCTCCTGGCTGGCTGAGTTGGTTCCTTACGGACTGGCCGAGCCCACTAGCGTGCCGTTCTGTTTCTTGCCGGGTGCGCAACCTATGGCGCGGCTAATGGCAGGCGATGTTACGTTGGGCCGCAGAGTGCCGCAGCATATGGCGCCACCAATGGCAAGACGTCATATTTCTGGCCGCCGAAAGTGCAAAATATGACGCCACCAATGGCAAGTCGTCATACTTCTGGCCGCGGAGTGCGCAAACTACGGCGCCACCAATGCCAGGCCGTTTTCTTTTGAGCCGCCGAGTGCGTAACTCCTGGCGCCACCAATGGCAGGCCGTTCTGTTTGGGGCCGCCAAGTGTTCAACCCTTGGTGCTTCTAAGGGCAGGCCGTTTCTTTTTCGGGGCGCCGAGTGCGAACCCTATGGCACCACCAGTAACAAGCAATGTTCGGTTTGGCCGTCGAATACGAAACCTATGGCGCCACCACACGCAGACCATGATACTTTGAGCCGCCAAATGCGCAACTTATGGCGCTTCCAATGGCAAGCTGTGCTGTTTCTGCCAGTCGAGAGCGCAGACCCCAGTGAAACCAAAGGCATGTCGTCATATGTTTTTGGGGCAGGGTGCACAACCTCTGTCGCCACAAATTGAAGGTCGGTTTATTCCTGGCGGCCGGGTGCGACACGTATGGCACCACCAACGGTAAGACGTTAATGATTTAACCGTCGCGTGCGCAATCTATGACCCCACTAACAGTAGGTCGTTGTATGTTGGGCCATCGAGTGCGCATCCTATGGCAACACCAAAAACAGTCCGTAGGCTTTGCCGCCGAATGCGTAACGATTGGCGCAACTACCAGCAGGCCTGTTGATGTTTGTCAATCAAATGCGCAACTCATTGCGCAACCAGTGGAGTGGATCCGCGGGATGTCGCAACCCATGGTAAAACCTACGGCGCATCCAATGGATGGCGAAACCCACGGCGCAACCCATAGATGGCGCAACATATGGCGCAATCCATGGATGGCAGCACGCACGCGTGCCGCAGCCCATGGATGCCACCGACAAGCCGCAACTGCGGGAGCTGTGCTCCTTGACGCCCCAGGGAGGCCACATCACATCAGCAATCCATCGAGGGTGGCGTAGATGCCGATGGGAAGGGGGCGAACTGGGACCGCCCCACATGCTGATAGATGGCCTTCTTGATGGTCAAGGCGGTCCCAAGGGCCTCACACAGATTGCTCACACAAGATGCACACCAACAAAACGCTATGAGAAGGCCCCAGGGCGCCCCAGGCGAACCACAACAAGGTCCAAGATGGCTCCAAAAGACAAAATTGCCCGTGCTGGCGACTATTCAGGCTGACCCCAACTTCGATTTGACTGGTGCTGCTCCTTCCCCCTTGTTAACTTGTCCTGCAGTTAATGCTGCCCCAAATGTATTTTCACTGTACCTGGCATGGGAATAGTTTCTGGATTGTCTGGTGGGAATATTTTTTGGTCGCGGCCGCAAGCGAAAAACGCAGGCGGCGAACAGGGTGTCCGGGCCGACGGGCAAACCTAAGTAGCTGCTGGGCGCAGCGCGAGCCGGCCGGGCCAGCTCTCAGAAACAGCAGCTGCGGCAGCGGCGGCGGGGGGCTGAGTGGCTGAACTGCAACGCCTAGGGAAGCTCGAGCATCTTGCAGCCCTGTGGCAAAATGCCAAGGAATTCTGTGTTTTGCGCCGCGGCGCCAGTCCACCACGGTGAAGATGCTTGTCGGGACAGGCAGAAAGTGGCCTGCACGTACAGTCCTCACAGACACTGCAGTGGGGAAAGGCTAGGTACACACTGGTCATGTCGCCAGGGGGCGCCAAGGGCCAGGGCCGTGTCGACTCGACGGCGTAGACCTGCCTGGTCGGCTGGGACGAAACCAGGATGGAAGCACAGCGTCCGACGGAAGGCTGGGCCGCTCCGAGACGCCACGCACGCACGTATCCAGTGGGGCACACCAGTCCCGAGCAAGTGGCAACAAACCAGCCCGAAGGCGATGGCACATGTGGGCCCGGCCGATGGCCACATGGTCACGACGTTAGCGTCGTAGGGAGCCGCGTATTGCGCGGAGAGGAAGCCTGACTGGCGGGGATGGACGTCGCCAGCGCGGCCGGAAGAGTAGGCGCCAGGGGGCGACAGCGCCAGGGGGCGATCACCCACATTGCGATGCAGGGTCACAGGGTCCTTGACAGGCCGCCCTGCCCGTGCGGGACCCTCCTGTGGTGGGGTCTGGTGGGAATACTTTTTCGGTCGCGGCCGCGAGACGACGGTCAGGCGGCGAAAGCAAAGTCCGGGACGCGAGCTAGGCGAATTAGCAAGGACAGGCGCAGGCCGGCCGGCCCACTCAGGCTGCAGCTGCTGGCTGGGTGAAGCTGAACTGATCGGCGCACTGCTTGCTCGGGCACGTGCACTGGACAAAATGACCAGAATTCAAGCGGCCAGTGCACAACCCGCACGGGACGCGGACCTCGGTGGGCAAGTCTTGTGCATGGTGAAGACGCGCACGTGGGAATACTTTTCTGGTTCGCGGCTCCAAGGCGAGGGACAGGGAGCGGGCAAAACGTCCGGGGCGCGGTACGATGTAAATTGGCCGCAGTGGCGTATGCACATGCCAGGGACAAAATGCCCCTCATTGAGACGCAAGACAGCGTCAGGCACGTGGGAGTACGCGTTGCGTCCAGAAGTTGTTACTGAGGATTCGCTGCAACATGTGAGGCGGCGAGTTTGCTAGCACGCACCACTTGCAGGTGGCCAACATCTAAAATTCAATACTGGCTTTGTCAACGATGATATGTGCTTGATTGGGGCCAGCTTTTCGACTCACTGGGTCGCCGATCCGTGCCAGGTCACTTGTTGGTTTGTTTGTGTTTGCCTCTCTTCCATTTGGGTTCTCGCTCTCTGTCTCTCTTTCTTTCTCATGTTTTTGTTTCTATCTCTCTCTCTCTCGAACCTTTTTCTATGTAATCCCTCTCCCTTTCCCTCTTTACATGCAGCCCTGTCTCACCCTCTGTGTGTTGGCGGTCTCTCTCTCTCTCTCTCCCTCTCCCTCTCTTTATCTATACTAGAAACACGGCCGCGCTCCGCCAGCGCTTAGGTTCGAGCCCGGCAACCTGCGTCGCATCTTCACCAAGTAGTTGGGGGTGGCAACGGAAATGGGGGATGGAAGTTGGGATCTGTACAAGAGGAAAGAGTGGAAGTGAGGCGAGGGCCCAGGAAAGTTCACAGGACGGCCGAGTATGCGTCTGAGAAGGGAGAGGGAAGATGGGAGGGAGAGGCGGTGAGAAGGAGAGAGTTCGAAACGACAACCCAGGAGGGAGAGATGAGGAGGGACCTGGAGGATGTGGGCAGGGAGAGGAGAGGGTCAGTGAGAAGGGTGCACGAGGAGGATCGAGGAGGGGTGCCCAGGAGCCTGGAGGAGCAATGCCGGGGACGAGGGCGAAAGACCGCGCTGGAGGGAGCGGCGGGATGGCTGAGCTCGGGGGGCCGGGGGGACGACGGCCGAGAAGGGAGGCCGAGACGTCGGAGGAGAACGCGGGATGCGGGAGACTGCGGCGGCAGGCGGTCGGGAGCCCCAGAGGGGGGCCCAAGGCCGAGGCAGCGCAAGAGTGCACGAGCGACGCGCGGATGGCAGCCCAAACGTCCCAAACGTGCACCGGGGACGGGCGGGAGGCACGCGGGACCCTTGGAGGCGGGGCCGCGGGCGACCCGTGGAGACGGCGAAGGACGGGCCGCAGAGGAAAGGACTCGAGGGGGGCAAGCCCCAGATGAAGGCGCGCGCCATTGCCAGGCGTGCTGACTGTAGCCTCCCTGGCCTCACTTCCTCAGAACCAGCGCGCTCCGTCTCCAGATGGGCCGGCGCTGGCCTCACGCTTCGGGGGGTGCCTTC